TTACAGTCAATCGTGTGTGCTCCTTTTGACTGCCACACTACAAACCAAAAACATCACATCAAATATACTTATTCCTCTTCAGCACTCCGCCCTTTTCCGACTGAGGACCATTGTTTCAGATTTGCCTGCGCGTTGTGTGCGGCAGCAGCACAAGAGCAGCGCGAAATTGCTCACGCGCACAATTTAGAGGTTACATTTGGTCAAGCCGAGGTTGGCTACTAATTCTCTGCCTCTGATTTGGCAAACCACGCCTGCAAGCTGATTTCTCGTGGTATTTGTGAATTCACACAAACTCCAGAATCCACCTTGTAACGAGCTCGCCGATTTCAGTGCCGACCAATCATAAGGCAACGGTGTGTTTGCGGGAGGGGGAGTAATGCATCTGCGACGACAACTTCTCGTTTTACAATCAGCTTTGGGCAAAAAAATATGTTGTTTCGTAGCCGTTCACAATTTGCCATATCGCTCAATCAGTCGGAAGCATTTTGTGTGTGTAATGTCCCGAACTCATCTTTGAAAACATCATCATGATTTGTGAGTACTTCTTGGATTGACTTGGCTCTTGGAGATGCTTGCATTTTGTTTTCCGTAATCGTTTTGATCATTTCCCAGTTTAATTTTATTTTATCGAGCCACTCTCGTCCACAGAGTGACGGGCCCTCAACCCCAACTACAATCAGTGGTAAATCAGCAGTCTGATCTTCATACCTCACTTTCGCCATGAACTGCTCTTTTACAGGAATTGGCTCGCCGAAGTAGCACTTCAGTGCGACGCTACTTCCCTCTAGTGGTACACGAGAGAATTACCGTTTATACACATTTTCAGAGATAATGCTGACTCCTGCCCCCGTGTCATTTTCCATTGGAACCTTTCTCCCATTTACACCAAAAAAGGCCTTGTATGGTCTCCGGCCCCCATTAGCACGATACACGTGGACATGGAACATGGGAACATCATCATCTTTTTCATCAGTTTACACATCGCCAGTCAGCTTACAACATTTTCTCTCATTGCTTATCTTCCCCTTTTTCTTGTTATTGTCAGATGCAGGTGCCCAAGCCCGACATGCCTTTTGAATATGACCAACTTCGAGACACAATTTCCGCAAAAGTCTTGTCTCTGGACGAGGCAGGTTGCACTAAATTACTGAGAAGTCCATACGCTGATGCGCCCAAGGAGTTCAGCAAAACGGCAACTTTCTTGTCGTCGTTGACATCATGCGCCTCAAAAAACAGCTCCATGCGCTCCACATCGGCAGACCACGATTCATTCTCGGGTTTGAACTCATCCGGTCTCTGAGAAAAGTACGCCATCTTACCTCACTACACTTTAAAGTACAACCTTAAGATCGACTTCTACTTGTCACCAGATGTGGTGTCTTCAATGACGAGGCAGACACGCACGTTTTTTATTGGATATTATTGACTGTGAGTTTCAACATCAGTAACATGGGGAAGAAGTCTAAAACATTCTGGAAATATTCTCACGCATGCGCACTCGATGGCTATGAAAGGCATGTAAAGTCTGTGCATCCAAACAACAGACAAATAACTATACTGTCGTGGTTAATACACCACACTATGCATGTTGTTTAGCACCTTAATGCAGGGACTTTTGACATTCCTTCTCTTGAGCAATCCTCTTCCAATCTCGCTTGTATTCCGTTGTTGCCACTCGAAACAGGCGCTGTCTGCATGCGAGCTGCAGTGGTTACTACTTGGGTCAGCTTGCTACATATTTGACCGAAGATCGACTTTCGAAGCGACGAACCTACCGCCATTGACCCGATCGTGCACGTGCAAGTATTTTCACACACGCACGCACGCCGAGATGAGCGACACAGCCAGAACGTCACCGAACAGGACGAAATCAAAACACGGACACACAAAGTTTCCCCCGCCCCCATTTCCTTCTCCCAACCCTCGCGGTCGATTTGGGACGAGTCCGCTGGCTCCCGGACGATCGCGATTGACGTATTGGGCACCCCTGCCTTAAAATCAGAGGTAATTCGCTGACTATCTTAGCGCCGTTGTTTGCGCATGAGTGGTAATTCAGTTGTCATCTGACTGGTTGCCCTGTACGTCAATCAAGTAACCGGATTAATGATATGCTGACATCGTAAATTCTGCTGTACACAAATAGTGTTTTTTTCAACAGCGCTAACTCTACCCTGAAGCTTCAATTGGAAAGTTGGCACAATAAAAGCAGGTCTTGTGATTTAGTTTCCATATGAAGGACAAACTTGCACTTGTAAAATTGCATTTCAGATGGTTTATTGTGAAATAGTTTCAGTGTTAACAAAAGTAATGATTGTTTTTTTTTTTTTTAGTTTCAGAACAAAACCAAGCAAAACGTTTTTTTTTTTAAAAGAAATCTGATCCACCTGCAGCCATGTTAAAAGGATAGTGCTCAGGGAAGCGATGGATGAACTTTACAGCTTCATTGTACAGTTCCAGGTCTGTGGGGAACATGTGCAGAATATCATTCCAAGTACGCTCAAATCAAAGCTCATCTGAATAGTTCGTACATAATAACCTACTAAAGTTATTGCCATTCTCTTCTGGGAGCCATTGGAATGTGATGGCCATGATAGTTCCTCTGTAAGACACCGTTCCAATGACTTCTACAACTCCAGAAAGCTCCTCATCAAGCTGAAAGATGAAGGTGAAAAAAAGTGTTAAATGTAAAGTCAACATACAAATTACATAAGACAAACAAACAAACAAAAAAAAGCTTTTAACAACTTATGAACACAAATGTAAACCCTTTGAGGGACAGCGGTTACTACAGTGGACAGCTTATCACGTTGTCAGGTTACAAGGTGCATGAAAGGGTTTAAACGGTTGCTATTCGGGGCCAAAGTACATGTTTAATGTGATAATAATCTAGTTAAATTAGAAAAAAAGAATGTATTCTCGCAGAGTCAGAGTGCTTTGCGTATTCACCCACACATGCATTCATCTGCTTGGCACCAAACTTGAAGCCTGGGCCTGAAGGCCATGTTAGCGGCTATGCGACTTCTGTCATATTACAAATTAAGATATGAAAATATACACATTCAGTGTTCCAAAATAACACTGATGCCTACTAAAGGGGAATTCAAATTCAAAATTGTCCTCACAATTATATGTTGCCGATACTAGTTTTAACATGGGAGTCTGATTAATATCGTGTTTGTGGAATAGGAATTAAGCATCATTTGTACACCCAACCCATTTGTACCTTTTGTTTTTTAATCCATTTCAGGGGGCGTTCATTTTGCCACTTGCTGTCGACTGAAAATGACAACATAGTAACTCAGGGTTCAGGTAATGTCCATTCATGGCTCGCCTTTGCGAACGTCACATGACCCAAGTCGGGAACCCCCCCGGGACGGCTCAACACATCAACTGGATTGGTTCAACCCTTTCATGCACCCTGTAACCTGCTAACATGATAAGCTGTCCACTGTGGTAACAGCTGTAAATCAATTCATCTTTGACAGTTCAACAAACGTACGCAAAATGATGATGATCTGCTGCAATTTGGACATTGGACGAGAACAAAAATGCACTCACAGAGAAATTTAGTTCAACAAGAACATGTTGTCCCTCTCCATCAGTGACAGCGAAAGCTGTTCCAGTTGGGTGTACCTAAGCACAACAAACGAGGAACAAGACAGCACGTTAACCTTTACGTCAGGAATATCACGTATGGGATGTTGTGAATCGCGGTAGTTAGCCACGACAGTTACCCTCTCAACACGCCCGACGAAACAGACGACTTTGTTAATATATCGCGACATCATCGATGAATTAATTCGAGGTCTTGGAACACCGAAGATAATATCAGACATCGTAAGTGATATATGTAACGACGTTGACGAACACCCACCAAACTAATTTACGGCGCGGAAATACTGTCAACTTACTTTTAATTTACAACGTACGCCACGCGGGTCGATAGCTTAAACCTTACCAAAGAATCCGACAGGCTTGTGACTGCGGCAAGCGCTGGAATATAGATGGAAACATACCCAAGGTTCCTGGACTACACATGCGATGTCCGTTTAATTCCGGAAGTTTGCTTTCAAAAACGTCATTATTTTTTTTGCCAAATTCTACATGAATTTATCCAAATTTATGCATGAGAAACCAACTCCTATTGTTTTAAAAACATCGACATTGTCTGGACGAAACAAAAGGCTACGAAAACATATAATTTACAAACTTTAAAATTGAGTGTTTACACTACATCTTCTGTATTTCATTTTATTTTTATACTTGTTGTAACTAACCTCCCTGGTGCGTTTTGTGATTTTGTATACCATTTCTATATTTGAATATTTACCTGTTTTATTCTTTTAGTTTCAATAAAGTTTATTGAAAAAAAAAACGCTTTATCCTCATTAGGGTCGTGGAGGGTGCTGGAGCCTATCCCAGCTGTCTTTGGGCAGTCGGCAGGGACACCCTGACTGAACCGGTTGCCAGCCAGTTGCAGGGCACACAGAGACGAATAACCATCGGCGCTCACACTCACATCTCGGGACAAATCAGAGTGTTGAATCAGCCTGCCATGCATGTTTTTGGAATGTGGAAGGCCGGAGCCGGGATCAAACCCACGATCTCTGTACTGTCAGTTCGACGTGCTAACCAATGGTCCCACCGGGCCGCCGTGACTCAGTGTGTCAACGATAAATCATTGCGTGTGCCAAACCCAGTCACTTCTGCACTGAACAGAAACAGTTGAAGCCAAAGTTTTTATGGTTTTCCCCCCAAAAATAATCAATAAAAATAATACCACACCTAATACTGTGTACTGTATATATGACATCAAGAGCCATGAGGCGACATAGCTCAGACGGTTTCGTGGTCGTCTCCCCTCGGGAAGCTTGCGGGTTTGATCCTCAGCCCTTGTGACTAAGTGCCCTTGAGCAAGATACTGAAGCCCCTCCCCTCAATTGTTTCTGATGCCGCATCATCCGAGGAGTCGGCATCAAAGCGCTTTGAGTGCCTTGGGCAGAATCGCGCTTGATAAGAAAACGTGCATTTACCGTGAATTAAAAATGTGATTGACACACAGAGTAGGAAATGTTTGCAAGCAACAATGAATTAACATAAAATAATCATGTGTTTTTTCTATACAATACATTCGTGAGAAATTATTTGTTTTGCATCCAGTGTGAATTTGACCTCTCCAACAAATTCATCACAAACGACCCGTATCTTGTGTTGGATCAAAACAGGGCTGAAGAATATGGCGTCCCGGACCAAGCACATAAAGGAAACTGGGGCGAAGCGTTGTCACATAGTGTTTTATATGAATTCCATTCATACGGACTTCCCAACTGAAACTGAATGTCAGTGAGGGACGAGAGCACCTGTACTGGAAAATGAAGTGTGTATCTGCCCACATTTTGTCATGCTGTATAACTTTCCCATGCCCGCAGCGTATCTCGGCGTCTTTGAAGCAATTATCACTTCAAATTGGAACACTCCCTCCTGGAGTCCTTGTAGGGACGCACAGACATCGGGATGCACCAGTTGATACAAGCTAAGAAACGGTTTCGGGGAAACTAAAGTTCTGATGTCACGCCTTGAATTTCCGCCCTTTTGATGATATATATATGTTGTGAATCCCTTCCTTTGCACTCGTGACCACCGCACCCATTGTCTGTCAACCGCGGGTGCCCGGAATATTCTCCAAATAAACCCTTCGAAGTTACTGTTCATCGACTCCAGTCTGTATTTGGATAACTGACATCCTCCTCGTCCAAAATTCAACGAACATACGGGAGAAAGAAGGCCACTTTTCCCCCAACAACTACGAATGCAGGTGAAAAGAAGTTTGTCAAGTTTCGGGTGGTTTGTGACATGAATGGATGTAACTATGTGTAAACATTGAACGGACACAAATGTCAGATCATTTTTAAAGTGGTGGGGAAAATGTGCTTTTATCTCCCTCTTTCTCTCTCTCT